ATCTGTCGGTCTGTTTGAGTCCGTGTCAGCAGTTCGTGTGATGTTTCCCCTTTTTTTTTTTTTTTTTATGCAGGCATTCCCAGCACCGCCCCCACTGCAGGCGCTAATCTAGTTACTGTTACCATTACTATTACTTTTGTTATTGGACACAGTCATTATGCCTGTATTTGGGGCAACATTCGGTCTAGATACAGCGGTAATGACCGTACGTTCTATTCGGGCGAAGACGGTAGCGATTGGCCTGATCAAGCAGACCTCTGGGCGGCCTCACTCCACCACTCACCAGATGCACAAACAACAGAATTTATGGTGGTGCATCTTTCCATGTTTTAGCACAAGATTCATTCATATTTTGCATATTTTGTGAGTAGTGGAGCTCGACCCTCCTTTATCTCGCTTCTCAGACAAGGTCCGCCGCCTTTTTTTTTTTTTTTAATCGGGCCCAGAGTGCCCAAGGCTGATATTACCAATAAGAAGATTGAGGCCGGGGTCCTCACAGTCCGTCAAAATCAGAAAGATACAGAGAAGAGAAGATAGGAGATTAGCATGGCCCATGTGCAAGGACCAGAGTCTGACGCATAAATCCAGTAACAAGGCTTCCCTGGTTTGTCCTTTCTTTTTTTTTCTCTTTTTTTCAAATGACCTCTTCTTTTTCCTTGACTGAAACCTTGTGCAGTTTTTTTGTTGCAGGGGATCGATTAGAGTTGCATAGACTGGCAGAGAAAGTCACACACACACACAAGGAGATCGAAGGATAATAGTGGGGGAAGCAAACAAGCTTTAACGCCAACCATGAAGAAAGCACACTTGGATGCTGATGCTTGTGATGGGAGCCTGAAGTCCAACAGCGTTGATGACAACGATGGCAGCAATCGCGATCACGACGATGAGGATAAGGATAAGGATGAGGATGAGGATGAGGATATGGTGCTGGACTTTCGCACAGCATTTCAGGGGAGTGTGTTCGAGAGGTTCCACGTGGTGCCTCGCCAGCTTGCTCGGTTTGACACGGATGTCTGTTGTTCTTATGTCAGATTATTCCTGAACTTCATCAATGCGCCCGGAAGAATTCATCTCATGGTAAAGAGTGTCGAGGAATTCAGCGCGGAATTCACAGAATTCTTGTTAGAGGAGAGCAGTTGTCCTAGGGCAGTTGTTGAAGCACTCAGTAATATGTCAAAGGAATTTGTGGCCGACTTCTTGAGACGTTATGAGGCTGAGAAGGTTGAGGATAGGGCCTCGGATAAGGCTGAGGACGAGGATAAGGCTGGCTCAGAGGAGGAGGAGGAGGAGGAGGAGGAGGAGGAGGAGAAGGAGGAGGAGGATAAAGGTAAGGACGAAGACGAGGATAAGGATAAGGATAAGGATGTGGATAGGGGCGAGGATAATTGTCAGGGTAAGGATGTGGATAGGGGAGAGGATAAGGATGAGGATAAGGATGAGGATAAGGATAAGGATAAGGATGACGATAAGGATGATGATAAGGATGAGGAAAAGAATGAGGAGAAGGATGACGATGAGGAGGATGGTTACAGCAATGGCATGCATATTAATGATGATTGTGCAGACAAGGATCATGATTCTAATCGTCGCATTTACTACTATGATTGTTTAATAAAGTCACCGAGCGGTGAGTTCACATTCGACAGCTTCCGTGCCTCGCATTTTAGAAGAATTTCGCTCTTGCCATTGGAAATGTTGCTTCGAGTGGACGATGCCAGGGATTTAAGCTCGTCATGGAAAGTGGAATTCGCTAAAGGATTCTTAGGGTTTCTGGTCTCGCATCATGTCCCAACGCTGGCGTCAGACTTTGAGCTGCTTGGCCGATGGGGCACGACAGATGTGACTGTGGAGAGTGACGAGACTCTCTTCCGTCTGCTATATTATTATTGTGTGAAAGCATCCGAGCAGACCTCGGGCTGTACAAATTTCCAGTTTTGGCACATTTTGTTGAACTTGGGTTTATTGGCCTTTCTGGTCGATTTCAATTTGGTGGGATCCGACGGTCAGAACTGGCCTTTGCGGATGCTCATCTGGGAAGGGCATTGGCGTGTGGATTGCGATGACGATGCTGAGGAGGAGCGGAGGGATACATTTGGCTGGCTTCCGTACATCCGAGATCGCGGGAATAAGTTTGGCTGGTTCGCCGACATCTTAGATCGCGAAACCGGTGCGGTTGTTGCCACTGCACACGGCAGTTCTGAAACTAGTAGCTTCTTCCCAGAGACAATTGTAAGAGTTAAGCGGAGAGAACTTGTCCGCAGAAGATACAAGCCTCACCGTAACATCCCAACGGTGGTGAAATGTTTTCTTAGTATTCTTAGATATAGTCTCAATGATGATAGGGACTACATCCTCTTTTCGGAGTCGTCAGAAGATGAAGTTGAAGCTGATTGTACCTCTTCATGTGACATGCAGGCAGACATAGAAGATCTTCACGATGCCTCTTGGAATCCTGGGTGCCTTTGCTACACCAACCGATGTGAGGTGGAACACCTCATTCCTGTTGCCGCGTCTCTGATTGCACTTTGCACTAGAGATCGTCCGTTCCTTGACTCCTGTGTGGCCAAGTATAGGCTTCGATTGACTAGACTTGCAGACATCACGCAGAACCGCTGCCGGCATTTTCACCGCTTGTTCAGAGGGACTTGCTGGGCACAATTACCTGAGGATGTGGTATTGCTCATCGTTGGCTTTCTTCCTGCGCCGTATATACGTAGACCACCGGCGTAGAAGAAGAGTGAAGTCGTTCCAGTGTGTATGGGCTTGTGTTGTCGAGGCAGGCTTAAGACCTGGTGCAGCCCCAGTGCAGACATAATTATATGCTTTTCTTTTCCTGCTTGTTCAAAGGGGCACAGTATATTGGGCACGACCATCGAAGGAGGAGGACCACCGGCGTTGAAGAAGAGTGAAGTCATTCCAATGTGTATGGACTTGTGTTGTCGAGGCAGGCTTGGAGACCTGGTGCAGCCCCCCTGCAGACATAGTATGCTTTTTTTTCCCCTGCTTGTTCAAAGGGACACTGTATAGTGGGCACAACTATTGGACGAGGAGGAGGAGGAGGAGGATAAGGAGGTGGCGTTCCTACTCGTCGTTGACTTTCTTTTTGCCCTCTCCACTGGTAGGAGAGGAGAAGAGTTTTGTGTTCCGCGGGGCCTTTGGTGTCTTGCAGGCGTCGTGCAGGTTCACTTTGCGGAGATGACAGCGGGGAAGGAGCTACTGGAGGAGGAGGAGCTGGTCTTCTTAGTACTCATTGTTGTTGGCTTTTCTCCCTCCACGACATGTGTACGCCATCTCCACCAGTGGGGAAGAAGAGCAAAAAGTGCGTACTACGCCATTAACCTCCATTAACTGGCACCATGCCTGTTTTTCGTTTTTCCGTTTGCAAGTAGGCTACCAGAGTGGTCGGGGTCCACTTGCCCGGCCGCGCCAAAAAGAAATAAACAATAAAAAAATGAAAAATATATATATATATTTTTTAATTACTTTAAATTTGGTAAAGAATTTCCATGTGACCCTGAGGCAAAAGTTGTTTAGTTCTTTTTTCTACATAACATAGTAGTTTTTTTTTTGGATTTTTTTATGTTGTTTTTGCTATCCTACAAAAAGACTTCCAAAAGCCAAAAGTATTGAAGGGATTGCCATCAGAGTAGGAGCATCATGACATCTTTCGATGTCTCGCTTAAAAGCATTGGTTGGAGCAAGAAAAGTGAGAAAAAGTAAACGAAAAGAATAATAAGAAGTCAAAAATACAGAAAGACTTCCAAGCCAAAAAACCAAATTACCACTTATGGTATATTTAGTATAAGCAAGTTATAAGATCACATCCTTCGAATAAAATCCAGTTAAAAAAGGAAATCCAATTAAAGACATGCTGCCTATTAGCATCATAGCATAAGTAAAAGGTAACAAAGAAGCTAATCCTCCCATTTTGCGCATATCTTGTTCATCAGACATTGCATGAATCACAGAACCTGCACTCAAAAAAAGTAATGCTTTAAAAAGAGCATGGTTCATCAGATGAAATACGCTCACAGAATAATTGGAGATACCACAAGCGAATACCATATAACCTAATTGGCTACAAGTAGAATAAGCAATAACCCTTTTAAATTTCTTTTTTTGGCTAGGACCTTTCATGGTCCTTCCACGGCCGGGTCGCCCGGGAAATAAGGTGACCCGGGCGGCCCGGCTGGTAGCCTAGGTTTGCGATCAATTTTACCCGCACAGTTGCAGTCTGAGGTGTCTGCACTTTTCTAAGAATGCTTTGTTGACGTGATTTGGAGTGATTTCGAAGCCAGGCCCTGCGTCTGTATTGCTGTGTTGCCTGTGTGTTGGAACCGCTACTCTGCTCTGTCCTCGATCTGAGTGGCGTGATGAGTAAAGAGGAAGGATTGAGTTAGTCTTGGCGGTGTGATGCCAAGAAAGCTGGGATTCGAAGGAGATGACGACGCCACCATCATAGTAAAGCTCATGTTAATATCTTCTTCATCAATAAATATTAAATTTCCATTTGGTGTCATTTTTTCTCTGCTGGTTGAGAAGACCGCGTAATACGCATGCATGTGACAACTCTGTACCCCATACGGGCCATACCCCATGTGCGAACTCTGTACCCATCCATGCCCCTGGAGGGGTAGAATGGGATCATATTAGGTGTAGTTACAGGGATAGGACCAAAATTTGGACAATGGGATAGGACTTATAGGGAATTCCAGGACGAACAGGGGTAAAACCATAAAGCTAGAATTTGGCATGGGGCTAGCTAAGGGTAGTAGGTCCTGGATTGTCCAGTAACTTGGGTACTAGGACGACGGTCTTCCCCCGCAACACAACGCGCCCTCATGATGAATATATACACGCTGTCTCTTTGGTCGGATGCAGTGATAATGACGGTGCGTTATGTTCGGGGGAAGGCGGTAGGAAATCAGTCGAGCTTTGTAGTAGATCATGATGGTCCACGATCAAGATAAGCTAGCTTTAGGTCTAGGTTCAGGTTGTGTGGGCTTCAATAACGTTCCTGCCTGAAAGGAGGGGGGAGGGGGGGGGGGGGGGGGGGGGGGGAGGGAGGACATCTGGTAGGGGCTTCTTGTGCACCGGTAGAGAGTGAGAGTACTACCTGAATAGACGTATCGGAGGAGGGCTGAGAGTCTATTTCTATTGTCTATTGTCTATTGTCTATTGTTCACGTTCCAACGAGTAGTCCAGGTGTTCAGCTGCCAGTCATGATGCCGCTCGCGTCTGAGGGAGAGTGAGGCAGAGCGCACCAAACAGAGGATGAAGGAGGTGAGTGTGAGGAAGTAATCCTTCCTGGCCATGGAGTGTGAGGAAGTAGACCTTCCTCGCCATGGAGTGGAGGAAGTGGTTAAATTAGTGGTAGGAGAGAGAAGGCCTGGGCTATGGAAGTAGATGAAGAAGGACCTCAATCTAGGCTATGGAAGTACTAGGTGAAAGGGAAGAGTAGAGGACGAGGAAGGAGGAGGGAGCCGACAAAGATGAGTATGGAGTTTATTCAACTTGATTGGTAATTCATGCTGCTGGTGGTCCTTTTTTTTTCCCCTTTTTTTCTTTTTCCTTTTTTTCCCTTTTTTTTTTTTTCAAAATGATACGCAACGAGTTGTTAATTCAAATTGTTGTGCAAATTGAATGTGTATCATTTTTTTTTTCCTTTTTTTTTACCCCCTTTTTCTTCAGGAAGAGGTGGTGGGTGGGGGGGAAGGGATTGGAAACACCACGGCCAGGGGGGTGGTCCCCATGGGTCGTGTGAGCAGCATGAGGTATCTGCAACGTTTATGATTCAGTTTCAATTGCCAATCGAAGTGCTCAATGCGCGATCATCGGAAGAATCTGATGTCAAAATCTGCATTCATGCTGTAATTACGCCCGCTGTTCGCAATCCCTTTAACGTACTACTACTAGTAAAAGAAGATTGTGTGCATTGATTGGATGATGATGATGATGATGAATCATCACTATGACCAGATACCAATCCCCAATTGGTTGAAAGTGACCACAATTAACATAACCACAGTCAGAGTATCAAACAGAAAACCCCAAGAAGCATCAAACATTTCTGACAAAATCCATGGTGCGAATTTGATATAACAAGCACTGGCTCCCAGTGCAACCTCATAAAAAGCTATGAAACACAGACCTGAAGAAATTGAAACACAAGTGGTTGTTACCAAGGCAGCCCCTCGTCGTCTAGGCTCGACTCTTTCTTCGAGCCTAGCGGTGGAACTCTTGACTCTATTCGTGTTTTAATGAAATTATGTACCCGTAAAAAATGGCCGGGAAATCCTGGCCTTACGGGTACCACCCTTGAGTTAGTTTTGTTGTTTCTGAAGCAAGTTCCTGGGCTTATAGTTTAATTGGTTCAAACACACCGCTCATAACGGTGATATTGTAGGTTCAAATCCTACTAAACATGCCAATAGTGACAAAATTCATGTGAGCTACTGAAGAATATGCAATGATCTTTTTCAGATCGATTTGTCTTAATGTAGTTAAGGAAGTATATATTATAGCAATCACACTAAGAGTATAAATGAAATTCATACGGCTCGTACCTAAGTTCTTACAGGTGACTGTAGTGAATATGGTGAAGGCATAGTCTTACCCCATCAGTAATGGTGGAAGGTCGAGGTTCCAAGGGTTCGGTTGTTCGCCGATGAAAGTGGTAAACTCATTGCCGTGTCAGACGAGTAATCTCTGACCTTATTACTTTTTTTTTTTTTTTGGGAAACATCGTTACTTGTGGACCACATGGGCGTATTGGACATGAAAAGTTTCTTCAGCAATTTATGATCATTGCCATTCATCAACATCTTTGGATCCGACCGGTTTAAAAAAAAAAGAAAAAAAAAAAGATTCTTTAGAATCTTTACCATCAATCAATGGAGAATATGTAAATGGGGGAGCTGTGATGCCTTTTTTCAGAGAGTGAGAGGAGATAACAATGATAACTAGAGAGAGAGAGAGAGAGAGAGAGAGAGAGAGAGAGAGAGAGAGAGAGAGAGAGAGAGAGAGAGAGAGAAGAAAACGAAGTTTAACTAACACTGTTCATTTTCAAATTGGAAGATTGAGGCGAAGGAATTGAGTACTTCAGGACGGCCGTTGAAATTGGAACGATGATACAGAGAGAGAAGATTAGCATGGCCCCTCCACAAGGATGACGTGCATTAATCGAGAGAAATGGTCCAAAGTTTTTTTTGTTAAAAAACACAAGCCTTAGCCTAAGGGCTTTGAGAAGGAAAAAAAAGGTGATAAAAGGTGATGACAGTTAATTAAAAATGTAACGATGATGGGCTCTTGCTTTGTAGTGTGCATCGTTCGCCGTGGCGAGGCCATTGATTCGCCTGTCCGAATGTTATCGTGTCGACTTTCGAAGGTTGTGATTGAAGTATTTTGGTTACATATGTATGAGGTTTTTTTTTTTTTTTTTTTTTTTGTGGGACAAATGCGCCAGTCTATTCGTGGGGAGCAGCACGTGCTGGGAACCGGGCCCAGCGTCCCATATAGAATTATACATTGTCAAGTCATTTGAAATACCAGGGCCATTACCTGGCTTCGTCGTGTTTTACTCTTGTTGACTTTAATTGCATGTATTACGTAACCCCAGTCTCAGGAAAACGTGGACACAGCAACTCCCGCTCCCTATTTGTGATGCACATAGAGGGAATGCATCGGCGGCGGGGACCACTGCCATACACTTTCAGCAGGGTAGCATTGTTGTACCATCGCACTCCTCGTTAAAAAAAAAAAAAAAAAAAAAACGCCCAGTTTCAGCTAGTA